TGCCCTGCCTTTGCCTTCTAGAGGGTCTGTAGGGTGTGTGTGGATTAATGCAATCCTGAAAAATCTGGTGCTGGATACATGCAAATATCTGCTGATTGAGATTATCATGTCAGTTATGAATTTGACTACATTCAGACATCTTTAGTGTTGTTCTTTCAGCAGATCCTCTCTTGTAACCAGTGTGTAGGATGAAAGCAGAATGCTAGGTCTGTCACGCAGTGTTGCAGCTAAAATGACCAGAGTGTTTCCTGCTGTGGTGCTCCCTTGGACTGGCTGAGCCCACTGCCTCTCACAGCCCCATCCTTGGTGCTCCTGGCTCTACACACAGCTATAGTCAGACTATTCAGTGCCTTAAAGAGCATTGAAATAATCATGGGACAAAATTGGGGCATACTATATTGGGACAATGTTCTGCTTTGTGTCAGTGGAGGATGAAGTGGACGATTTCCCATTTCTGCTGCCTTCTTTAAAAGAAAGCAAATACCATCTCCCTTGTTAAAAATTCCGGAGAAAGGAAAAAGTAATCTCAGTGCTCTGAGAGCAGTGGCTGCCAAGGCCCTTTTCTGTCTATTCTGCCTGGATGTCTCCATACACCTTTTTTCCCCCCTCAAAGATCTGAGAGATTGAGCCCCTCGCCCATCTTCTGAGGCTGGACACTCTGCACAGGCGTACGGAGCCTGCGAGGGACTGACTCAGAGCAAGACAAACTGCTGCCCCCCGCAGTGGTGAGCAGCTTCTTCTGGCCTGTGTCCAGGGAACCCTCTGCTAAATGCCACATTTCGACTCCTGGGCAGACTGCAAAATTCCCTCTTGCCTCAGGACCTCTCTCTTGAATCAGGCAGAGTCCCTGATCACAGGAGGCTGCTGGCACAGCTTGCCTTTGAAGACCAGCTTTTGCAAGGCAAAGCAGACATGCAGATGAAGCTGCAGGAACATGGTTCACTCTGTCGTGTTTTCAGCTTTATTACCACAAGCTGCCAAGATGATCTCAGGAGATGGAGTTTCCGACATTAGGGGATGGTCCCTGTTGCAGGCACATGGCATCCCCCGAGGATGGGGTTTTGGTTTGTTGTTTTTTGAATGTGGTGCAGTGGCACATTAAATTTGCTTAAAGATCTCTGTATTTTGGTGTATCAGTAAAGGTTGGGTTAGAACCCAGTGCCCTGGCACCCCCAAGCAGACTCCAATGCAGACACGTTGTTGGCTGCTCCCAGGCTGGAGCAGGTCAGGACGAGCTGACACATGAAACGTGAGGAGCTTGTCGTAAAACAGCACGGGAGAAACGCGAAGCTCTGATGTAAGGAAAAGCTGGAGGTAACTTGTAACTTCACCATTGTTCATGTTATTTAAAGGCTGGATGTCCCTTTTTGTGTTCTGGCGATTAGAGAGCAACTCTCAGGTTTCATAAGAACCTGAACAACGTTATTACAACAATTACTGTGTTGCTTCACTCCAAAACTCCTGCACTGCCATATTTAGCAATATGAACTGTGGGGTTACGTTAAGGCAGATTCACCACCTGGGTAATGCACAGGACTGGCTGTTTCTAGGTTTTAAGCAGGAAAGTGGCAGCAGGATCAGAGCTTGCAACACGGGACGGTGTTAAACCTGCTTTTGTCAGGGGAAGTGTCGTGGAAGAGCTGATACTTGCCCTTTCCTGAGGTGGATCACTCCAGTCACTGCAATGGCTGTCACTAACAGAGAAGAGAGGAGGAAAGGATCTGATTAAGAATTACTTTAAAAGTTCAGTTCTTTTTTCTCTATCTTTGAGTCCCTCACAGTGTGCTGATAGGGAACCTGAAATTCCAGGTCTTGACTGGCAGATCCTGTCTGTAGGCTCAGGTCTGTCCTGGTGCCTTCTGTCCTCATCTGTGACCTGCTGGCTCTGCGCGTGTGCTGTCGTGTGGGTCGTACCTTGGCTGCTCCCCTTGGCTTCCCTGCTCCTGTTCAGGATGCAAATGGTTGGTTTGCATTTCTGATTAACTGAAGCACTACTGTGTGTTATGAGAGATTTCTCAGCACTCAGAGTTGTAGGAGCCTAGATGGAGGGATGTGTGTCTTTGGGCACTCAGGGATTACTGTGCTGTCCCTCTGAGGAGAAGCAGTCCAAAGGCTGGATGGTGCGTGCCATCAAATACTTCCTTTTTTCTGAAGCACAGGTAGAATAAAAAATACAAAGAAAATTTTGTAAGCCTTAGTATATCCAAATAAGTGATTTCCTACCAAACTTGACTGCTGAGTTCCCCTTTCAGCAGCCTAACAACCTGTAGAGATGTTTAGAGCAAGTGTCAGTAGTTTCTGTGTGAATCCTGGCCCATGGGAGCTTGGGACAAGGGGCATTTCTCTGAGCAGGTTCAAGGCCTGGTGCCAGTTTCCAGGTTGTCTGGAGTGAGGGCAAGCCATCCATGGCTGTGGGAAGGGAGGTCCTGGTTGTAGACTTGTGGTGTGAGGGGCTGAAGTAAGCACAGGAATGGTGTGTGCAATCGCTGCCCTCAATAGCGGCTGTATCAGGTAACAGTGAGGGTTTCTCTCTGGTCAGCATCAGTTCTAGTTGGATTGGGAGAAAAATCAGATTTGGAGAAATGGTGACTGTTGCACTGAATATGCTGGTAAACTCTGCTGAATTCCATGAATCCCTTGGCTGCAGTAAAGGAATGTGGGGAGCACAGTGAAGCAGCTCCATGCTGCACTCCCTCCCTATGCTCTGGGCTTCCTGCCTCTGAGGGAGGGCTGTTCTCCAAATGTGTTTCTGTTTGGGTCAGGTGCAAAACATGAAATATTGTGGGGATTTCTTTGTGCCTTAAAATGCAGAGACATAACCTTCAAGGCATTTTAGCTGTTACGATCTTTACTCTATCTGGATTGAAAAATGTGCAGGAAAAAGTGCAAAATCCCAAGCGTTATAATTCAGGTACTTTTTTCCCCCTAAGTGGATCAACTCTGTATTCTGTTTTTGCAGTCACCTTCACTTCTGCGCTACAGAGTTGGTAACTCTGGTTCCCTTTTATCTACTTAAGAAGCAGCAGTTGAAAAACATGATTAAGAGTCTTCAGAAACCTTTGGCACACCCCTAATTTAAGGAGCAGCTCAGCCCATTTTGTGGCTACACCCACCCCTACACACAGGCTCTCAGCAATGAACTGTGTGAGCTGCCAGTGTATGTGTGTGCACGGGGTCAGATCAGCCTTGACCACAAGCAGTAGAAGTTAGAAAATAATAGACAATTCCGCAGTGGAATAAGTTTTCTGTTCTTCAGCATTTTCTTGGTTTCTTACTGCTCAGTTTTCTACTGTAAATCCACAGCTGGATGTAGTCTGTGATGGGAGTCCTGGGGACCTGTGTTAGCTGTGCTGGTGTGATTCAGAGGGAGGACAGAGCTGCAGTTTTGTCCTGAGTTCTTCCCTCACACACACAAAGTTCAGGAGCACAGATTTCAGTGAGCTCCTGCCTGGTGGAAGGTCACAGCTGATTTACAGACCCTCTTTGCCCAGTGCTTAGCTCAGGCTCCTCTGTTAATTGCCACATGGTGTCAGCAGGTTGAGAGGAACATTTCCAGCCTCCTTATGTTCCTCCAAGCAGTTGCTAAAGTGGTGACTGTTTCAGCAGCTAAGAATTTAATATATTTACTTCTAAAAGAGTGACGTTAATCCTGTTAACACTGTACATGTGTGGGGAGAGAGGAGTTAATTCCTGAATAGCATTTAATCCCCAGAGGAAGACACTGGTTGAGATAACACTGATTTATGGGGAAATTCAGAACCAACTGGAAGCTGATTGGGGATTAGTTCAGTCTCCAGTTGTAAAAGGGTGTTACAGCTGTGGAAGGTGTGTAACATGCCCGCTGGAGAAGATGTAGTGCGTTGAAGTTGCTAAATAAGACATACATCTCCCTGTGTGGTAGAGGCTGGGGAACCCCAAAGGCAGATGTAATTAATGCACAGTAATTTAAAACAGCTTTGAAAAAAATCAGGCTGTATGGAGCAACCTGAATTGGATTAGGCTGCTGTAAATAATAAATTTCTAAAAATAGCAGTCAAGTGGTGATCAAAGTATCTGGCACGTGTGAGAGCGTAAAGCTGGCAGGAGAGCTGGCGGAGATTGGACGGTTGGGGATGAGGGATGTGGCTGCTCTGCTTTGTAGAGCTGGAGTCAATGGTTGGTATCTCTTTCGTATATTTAAATAGTGACATAAACTGCAGGATTTTGGATTAGAGATCAGTTTCTCTTCAGGCACAGTCCCTGTGGGATAACCAAGGGAGAGCTGGGTGGAGAGGAATTCTCCGGGTGGGAAGGGTCAGGCAGTGTTCTTTGCTGCCTTCTCTGTCTGTTATTTCGACTGAGAAGGGTGAGTGTGCCACCAAGTGGGATATTTCTGGGTATTCCACTCTGGTGAGGGGTAGAATGGGGGTGAGCACCACACAGCTCTGGGCTGCCCTTTGTGGGGGACACAGTCCTGAGTGCTCTGCTGGCCCAGATGGAGTGTGCCAATGGCATCCTCCGCTGAAGTCCCTCTGGGAGTGGAGAGGAAGGATGGTGAAACAGTGTGGGCAGCAGGAAAGTAATTGCGTGTGTGAGAGAGGTGAGGAGGGATGGGAAGGGGCCGTGTCTTTCCCTCTGTTCTTCCTCTTCCCTGCCCTGTGAAATGCAGCCAAGCTGACACCCAGAGTAGGAATTACTGACAGTCAATGGCTCTGGGTTTTAGTTCCAAATAAAGCTGGATTGTTCTGAGAAGCAGACAGAGTCAGAGTCAGTAAGCTGCTCAAGTGTCAGCAAGTGAGTTGTTTTAGTTTATAGCACATAGAATTGTTCTGTGTGTTGTCTTAGGCAGTCTGAGAGCTTTTTGCCCATTAAGGGTGAGCAGTGAATAGTACATAGGAAATCCATTTTGCTGTTTTTATTAAGTATTAATATTACAGTGCAACCACCCTCTTGTTTTCTCCAGCAGAACTAAACCAAACTATTTTATGCACAAGCAGAGACTAGAGTGTGCAGCTGCAGAATCAAGAATCAGTAGGAGACACTCGTGTGTCCAGTTCAGTTTTTGGGCTTGTATGAACTGTTCTCTGAAGGATCTTTACTTTCCTGCATAGCACCTTCTCCACGAAGGGCTTGCACAGGAACAGGTAGATCAGGGGATCCATGCAGACATTGGTGGCTGGCTCTCTTTGGCCACGAAGAGCTGGTTCTGCAAGCGGCAGTCCATCTGGGTGCGTGTCTGGCTCAGAGTGTAGGGGACCCTGCTGAAGTGGAAGGGGGCAAAGCATAAGAAGAACACGGTAAAAATGATGAATACTTTCCCCTTGATCCGTTTTTCGCTTTTGTTGTCTTTCTTCTGTGTTTTAACATAAGACTCATACACCTTTTTGGCAATAATTATGTAAAATATCAACATGAGGATGAGGACAGTCCAGAAGATGAACTGACAGATGTAGTTGACGGCTTCGTGCCATTTGAGTCCGAGGGGGCTCTTCAAGGAGGCACATTTCCTCACAGACTGCGGAGTCGCTGTCTTGTTCGACAGGATCATGTTGGGCAGAGAGAGAATGAGGAAGAAGAGCCAGACCAGACCTGAGAGGATCTTTGCTGAGGTCAGGTTTTGCACCCAGAACTTCCCAAAAGGTCTCACAATCTTGAGAAATCTGTCAAAAGCAATGAGCCCGAGCAGTACTATGCTGATGTACATGGTGTCATAGAACACTACGGCCGAGAAGCGACAGACAAAGGCTTTGAGCTGCCACGGTCCCAGGCCAGAATCCGTCAGGATCTTCAGGGGAAGCATCAGAGTCATTATAAAGTCAGAAACTAAGATACTTTTCAAGTAGACAATAAAAGTTGATGTGCTTGCAATGTGGAAGAAAGCCCAGCAGGCCAGGCTGTTCAGTATGAGTCCCAGGAGGAAGATGAGCGTGTACAGCACGGGGAAGATCAGGTGAGTGACGGTGGTGTCGCGGGCACACGGTGTGGAGGACGGAGCTCCGGTGGTGTTACTGCCAGCGCTTGTGTTCGCAGACTCTGATGTTGTTTGAAATAGACTTGGGTGGAAAGGACAGAGAAAACATACCACACAACATCCTGTATTTAAAATGACATGTTCCTCACAGTGATGTCAGGTTTACATGAATAAACACCAAACCTGAGCGTGCGTTAGACAGACTGACCAATCTGTCTTCTGGGTCAAAGAAAATCTAAGTATTTGCCCAAGTTTAAGTTGTTTACAAGCTGCCTAAGTTTAAATTGTTTACAAACTAATGTCCACTAAAAAGTTAAGATGTTACATACTCATTCTGGAGGCCTAAGGTAATGTCATAGCAGGCTGTAAGAGCAAATTGCCTGGAGCACCATTGGTCTGTCCATGGAAATGTATTTTAGCATTGAATAGAAATGTCACAGCTGTAACCCTTTAAAAGCCAAGCTCTTCTGTAGAGGTGACTTCTGTTATTTCTTTACAAGTACACCCTGTTTCCCTTTCTCAGCACAGCTTTAGAGAGCGTTTCCAGGCTCAAATGCACACTGGTGGCCATCAGGCTGAGGACCAGCTGCCTGAGCACCCTGTCACACCACCTGAATGCTCCCACCCTGCGAGTACCTGAGCAAACCTGCAGCAGCTGTTGCAGAGGGCTCCATGGCTGTTCACGACTCATCCGCTGTTCCTCTGCCAACAGAAGCCTCAAGCAAAGTATTAAGAATGGGGAAATGTGTAGAAAGATGAGACTTTTTCTGTTGGTGTGTGGTTTCCTTCCTCATTTTACGTGTTGCCCGAGTTAATCACATTTGCTTTTGCATTTCTCTCTTGCCTTTGCTGTGTGTGAGAAAGCACACCATCTCCTAAGCTAGTAAGGAAGAGCATGTAACTAGTAAGGAAACTGCTCCTGTCCCTCAAGACAGGCCCATTTTCTGAGTCTGTGTGTGTGTGACACAGACATGCCACTCCTGTGCTGGGCCATTACAATTTGTCTCCTTTTGAGATGTGTCATGAATAAACAGAGTGTTTCCTGACAGTTTTCCAGGATAATCCTTCAATGTAGCTCCTAGTTGTTGCTTGGGTGTGTGAATTCCCTGTTCTGGATGACACTGGTTGTCATCAATGCAGGGTCTGCTCAGAGCCGCTTTGCAGTGGATACTTGACTCCAAAACTGCGTGCGTCAACACAGGCAGGAGCTGCCCCCTCTCTGTGGCCGGGTAATACTGACACATGGACCTGAGCTTGGCTTGGATCTCCAGAGTGAGATTCCTGGTTTATTTTGGCAGCTGTGTAGCCAGATAATGCTGGTTACAGCCATTCTGGTCCTGGCAGCAGCTGCTACTGCATGAGACGCTGTGGATGGATGATATGTTTATTAGGTATAATGCTGGAATTCTGTGCATTTCTCTGTGAGCAGAACTGTTTGAGTAAGTTTAACCAAGTCATGTAATTTGTCTTGTGTGTTCCCATCTCCTGATGTGACAGCTCTGACTCTGTGCTCACTGCCATGTTGAAAGTGGCTCATGTTCAAACCATTCCTTTGGGGCAGGCGTGGATTGCTTCATGTGGTGCTCAGACTGTAGCTGTGTGACATGGAGTTTGTGCATCAGTACCTGGTACATTTTAGTTAATGTAGGTGTTATGGTTTGTTTAATGTTGGTGTTAAATGACTGGTGAGAGCAGAACCTTGAGGATGGCTGGGATGAAGCTCTCTCTTGTCACTGCCATCAGTGTGATGTGTCCCTGGCTGCCTGACCCACCTACTGTTTGCCCATCAGTGACTATGTAAAGGTGACACAGTCCATTCCAGTGCTCCAGGACTGATGTCCCAGGCATTACCTTACATGTTTTCTTCCAAACTGAGCCCTTGGTGCTGTTCCCAAGCTGTTGGAGGCAGCAGGTACCAGGTGCCTCTGCATATCCCATCAGTGACAGCTGTGAGGGACATGAGTGGCTGTGCTGTCTGTGTGAGCAGCTCATCTGACCAGGGAGAGCAGCTGCCAGGAAATTGCCACTCTGTGTGTGTGTAGGTGCAAAAGGTGTGGAATGAGTGCTGGGTGGGAGTGGGGCACCTGGTGCTCACTTCTGGGCATTAGTGGAAACTGATTAGCCCTGTGGGCTGGTGGGTGAGCATGCTCTGGGGTCACTGGGCACTGGTTCCAGGGAAATTCTGGTGCTCTGTGGTGGAACCCAGTCACTGATTGTATCAGCATGGGCAGGGCACGAAATGGTTTGTGGAAGGTTCAGCTTATCCCAGTGTCTTATCAGAGATGCACAGACCCCAAGGCTGAGTGTGGCAGCAAGTGAGCTGTCTTTTAACTTCTTAGGAAATTGGGCTTCAGTGGTAGAAGTGCCCTGGCAGGCAAGGATGTGTGCTGGGAAGGGTGGACAGATGATGGCTTCGGCAGGACCAAGCTCTCGTGTGGTGGTGACAGACACTGCTGAATCGGAGCTGTTTGCAGTGCTGATATGAACACAGTTTATTCCAATAGCCTATGATCTTTTTTATTGTGTGTGGTTGTTGTCATACCTGAAGGTGTCATGTACCTGAAAATGCTTCCCTGTTTTTTTCCCCAAGTTTTCCAAATGCAAAAGGGGAAGTGGCTAAATACTTTGTATATTGCAAAAAGCTGCCCCAAATCATCACTAAAGATGTTACTGTGAACCTGTCTTTCTCCAAGATCTCAGTATGTTGTGATTGAGTCTGTGTATTTTCTAATATATCATTCTCTGTAGAAGTGTGCAATTTTGTTTATTTATGTAGTAAGGGGAAGGATTTCGGGGTTTAATTCATATCAAGACAAGCCTGATTATGAAATTATTTCTTCTGACATGCAACTATTAATTATTGGTCAATGGATTAGGAATTGCAAGCATAGGATGAGATAAGCAAAGTGTTATTCTGTTACCAAAAGTCTGCACAGACAAATGGTTCCTCTACATCTGGCCTAGATTTGTCTGTCTGCCAGTGGCATACAAGGTGACAACTCCCTGCATTGAGAAATCACATTTACTGTGTTGTCATGGACTTTACTCTGGCCCAAGTTTAGTTTTTTTTTTTTTTTCAAAATCTTTGCAGTTCATGATTGCATCTGTAGAATTTCTTGGCTCTGTTTTAGGTTTCTCCTCGCAGTTCTACCTTTAAGTTCAAACTTCTTCCCAGAAGTTCTGACAGATGTGGAGGTTGGAGTCAGGGGCACTCCTCTGTCCTTCAAGCTTTCTGTTTTTGCAGTCAGTGGTTGCGGTTCCAGGGTGCTCATGCTTCATCTGTAGGACAATGTCTAAAGAAGTTAGTGAAGTTCTAGATACTCTCCTCAGGATTTGTGCTCTTTCCACCCACAATATATGTGTGGCCAGGAAGTGGCACGCAGACTCCTGAGCTCTAGACTGGTGTCTCATCTGTGTCATCCCCTTCGTTCTGCTCCATGACACGTGCCCCGAGTCCTGCCACCACCTTGTGCTTGCACAGCATGTCTAGCAAGGACTTCCTAAATGATTTGCAAAGGAAAAAGTATATGAATGGGTCCAGGCAGGCGTTGAGGGACGTCAGCCACAGTGTGGTCTCCTTCAGGTAGAACAGGGCGTTCTGAGCGGAGCAGTCAAACACATCTCTCGTTTGGCTCAGGGTGTAGGGGATCCTAGTGAAGTGGAACGGCACAAAGCAGATAAAGAACACAGCTATGATGATGAACACTTTCAGATTGACAGCCTTATTGGATGCCTTCCCTGTGCATCTTGTCTTTCTGTAGGATTTGTACAGTTCCTTGCTGATGAGGATGTAACATACCACTATGACTGCTAGGTTGACCCAGAAGATGAGCTGACAGATGTAGTTTGTGACTTCATGCCAGACCAAGCCGAACTCAGATTTCAGGAATGCACATTTCCTCACGTTCTTGGCCGTTTTATTCTTGTTTGTTAAAATCATGTTGGGTAATGAAATGGCAAACATCGATAACCAAATTGCTGCGGACAGGATCTTGGCAGCTAAAAGGCTCCGTGGAGTAGATGTTCTGAATGGTGAAGTGGCTTTCTGATAGCGATCGATGGTTATCAGACCGAGGAAGAAAATGCTGGTGTACATGGTGAAGTAAAACACAACCTGGGTGACCTGGCACACAAACCCTCGCAGCTCCCAAGATACCAGCTTTGCATCACTGAGGATTTTAAATGGAAAAGTCAGGATCATGAGGAGGTCAGAAATGACAGTGTTCTTGAGGAAGATGATGAAGTTGGATTTACTGGATATTTTAAAGAAGACCCACGTTGCCAGGCTGTTCATGGTGATGCCCACCAGGAATAGGACTGTGTAAAGCAAAGGGAAGATGACTTGGCTGATCCTGCTGTCGCTGGTGCAGTTGCTGTTGTTCCTAGAGGAGCTGAAGTGGATTGTGTCTCTCATTTGCACTGCTGTGTCCCTCCTCCCTGGAAAATCAAACAGAAAACAAAAGGAAATTGTGAGGTTTATCTGTCATAAGGCTTCAACCTTTTCAGTCTGCTTCTAGTTTTTGCATTGGGAGCAAAATGTGGTCAGCTAATGGGGCTGGAGCTGAGCCAGGGTAACTCTTAGCCAGGGTAATGCAGTTGTTTAGATGACTGTATCACTGTCTGATACAGTCATCTGTATGTAAAACAGATGCCCACTATAAAACAGGTAAGTGCCTCTGTAAAACAGGCACTCGGGGGAGTTGTGCTGTCAGCTGATGCCCAAACCCTTGACATCTGCCTTACAGAGCCACAAAGTTTTATTTCTCTCTTTCAGGCATAAAAAATGGCTTTTGCTTTGAAGCATGTAACAGGTTCAGCTGCCAAGTCCAATCCTAATGGAACCAGTACTCCCTGAGCATGAGCATATTCCCCCCACAAAAGCCAAGGGAAGGTTACCGTGTTGTGCCTGGAGAAGCGGTGGAATGCCAGGAGTTCCCTGCTATGGAAGCTGCTGTCACCAAGGGAGGGTCTTTGGCAGTCCCTGCAGCTCTTCACCTTGGGATTGGGCAGGAGTGTTCCTGTGGAATCCCTCGGAGAAGGGAGAGGCAGGAGGAGCAGCTGAGCATCCCAGTCCCGAGACTCAGACCTTCCTCTGGCTGAGAGCTGGTTTCTTAGCCAGTGACAGCTGCAGATGCTAAATGACACACGAAGAGCTTCTGCTTCTGTTTTCTGTAGGAAAAAAGAGAGAAATAGAATTTTTAAAAGTAGTTAGCCATTTATTTCCTGCCTTGCAGAGCCACTCTTTATAACGAGAGTGGGTATTTGTCAGACTGTGCAGCGTTTCTGAGCGCAGAGCTGTGTCCCGTCTGCCCTATTTGGCCTTGTGATTCTTTAGTGTTATTTTTGTACACATCATTGCTTTTTAAAGCTTTAAAAGTACTTGAAAGCAGTGGTTATTGGTTACCATAGAGGTTATTACTGAGGGGAGTATTTATACCTTACATGACTTGCAGAGCAGTGCATCAAGGTTTTAAGTGACATACTATATGATATATACGTTTCATTTCAAGACTAAATATAACCAGCTACAATGAAATAAACTACACATACTTCAGTTTCTTTGGTATGAGCAAGACAATTTAAGGAGTTAGGCTGCATCTTTTTGTTGAATGAATTTGTACATAAGTAGTGTCACATAGTTTCTGAGCATCTCTTTACTGATCTGCTGCAGAATATTGATTCAGGGGGACAGTTTTGAGGGTCATCCATCTGCATCCTATGACTCTGTCCTTGTAGATACATAGGGAATTCATAATATCAGATTGCATTTTTCCCTCTGTGTTACTCCCTCTTCAGCAGTTCCCTTTGGCACTGTTTCCTCCCTACTGACAGCCACAGGAGATGTTTTTGTGTTGGAGTCAGTTGTTCTGTCACACAGTCTGGGCGGACTGGGCTGAGTTTCTGCAGGTGGTGAGAGGGACAAGCAAAGAGAGTTCACCCATATCTGCCCTTTTCAGGATGAATCCTCAAGCCACGAGTGCAACCAGCGCATGATTCTCCTCTATGGAGTGGGTAAGGAGCGTGATGAGGCGAGGCATCAGCTGAAGAAGATTACCAAAGACATCCTCAAAATCCTGAACAAGAAGAGCACTACAGAAATGGGTGGTAAATTCTTTAACCTGTTCAGTCACCTGTAGCGAAGCTCATGGGAGCTGTGAGGTGTCAGCATGTTGTCTGGAGCCATGCATGTTAGCCCATAGTTTGGCTTTCCTCCCCTTGGCACTCGCTGGGTGAGGTGCTGAGCAGAGTCCCACAGCACAGGCTGCTGCCCTGCCTCACTGTGTGTTGGGATGCCTGGGACCACCACTGCTACACATCCCTGTTTTCCATTGTAGCAACTGGCTGCAAACACCTGTGTAGAGCTAAAGCCTGGAATGTGAGTGATCTGTGTCCCTTACCCTCCTGGAAATGCTGCTGTGGTGTGCATCTGTCCCAATTCTAATGGAAAACTGGGGCAAGGAGGGTTTGTGTAGTCATGAGTAAAACTTACTAGGGTTTTTATTATCTTTTAAATCAGTAACTACGCAAACCTACAGGGCTCCATTGCATATAAAATGACTGAAATAACTTTTTGTCTGTGAAGTTGGGGATGAAGGGCAGAAGGCCAGGAAGACCAAGCCAGAGGCATTTCCAACCCTGGAGACTGTGTTCACAAAGCTGCAGCAGTTGTCCTATTTCGATCAGCATCAGGTGACATCCCAGGTACTTTCCTTGTACCACATTGTGGCCCTTTACGCTGCTGCAGGATGTCCAAAGGGAAGCAAATCTTGTTGTTTACAAGTGTTTTGTGTATAAATACAAAATAATATGCTCTAGTGGGATTTTCATAGTGCAGGTGTACCCATGAGCCCCCACTCATGTCTGACCTTTGGCATTTCTTTCTCCAGATCTCCAGCAATGTCCTTGAACAGATTACTAGCTTTGCCTCAGGAACATCATACCACCTGCCTCTGGCTCACCACATCCAGCTCATCTTTGATCTCATGGAACCAGCACTGAACATCAACGGGCTTATAGACTTTGCCATACAGGTAAGCAGAGTTCATTCTGGGGGTTATGTCAGGGTAAAGCTGACATAATGTGGTACCTTTTCTGTGAAGCTAGAAAAACCCCAAGAGCAGGATGGTGAATTCCCCAGATTCAGTGCCATCTGCGTGTGTCTGAAACAGAGTGCCAGGCACTTCCCCTTCTGTCCTGCTGAGACAGTTGTGGAGAATCAGTAGATGCATTCAATTTTTAAATCTTTCAGAACTAATAAAGTTCAGGATTATTTTAGCACAAGCCATTTTAGGATGGGCTTTACTGTTTCAGACTGAACCACTGCATTACCCAGTAACCTGTCTGGGTGCCCGAAATCCCAAGAGCAGTTCCAAGGGATGTTTTTTTGTACTTGAACCATTTCTTTTGCTCCCTCTTCCCCTTGTTCTGCAGCGAGTAAGGAATTTCATTTCAGTTTGCCACACAGTTTTTCCTTAATGCATTCTCTTTGCTCCCTTTTGACATGTTTAACTTGGGAGCTACTTTCAGGTTGTTATTTTTGTGTGTGTTCCCAGCTGCTGAATGAGCTGAGCGTGGTGGAGGCTGAGCTGCTGCTCAAGTCATCCAGCCTGGCTGGGAGCTACACTACAGGGCTGTGTGTCTGCATCGTGGCCGTGCTGCGGCGGTACCACGCCTGCCTCATCCTCAGCTCCGAGCAGACCGCACAGGTCTTCGAAGGGTAGGTGGCACCTATGCCTTTCCAAGGAGTGTTTTTGGTCTCTCTTAAGCAGAAGCAGCACTTTGGTTCAGGTAGCAGGACCAGGTGTCACAGTGCTGTTGGAGGGCTGTAGGTGAGCTCAGTTGAGTGGGATGGACAGCTCCCCTCCACAGCCAGTGCACCACTGCCAGGGCTGGTGGGACCCCTCACCCTTTGTAACCTCGACCTCTTGATTTCCTGCCCTTGTGCCCCACTCTGCCTTGTCACAGCTGATGCCAAATGTTGTATGACCCCCATCAGCCTGTAGATGCAGGTCCATCACATTCCCCAGCTGATGGTGAGGTTTATGTGATCTGTGACAGTATGAAACACGTCTCAGATGCGTTGGAACAAACCCTGGATGACTTTGTGTTTGCAGGTTGTGCGGGGTAGTAAAACATGTTGTGAATCCCTCCGAGTGTTCCTCTCCAGAACGGTGCATTTTAGCTTACCTCTATGACCTGTATGTGTCCTGCAGCCACCTGAGAAGCAAGTTTGGAGACCTGTTCAGGTGAGTGGTGATGGGATTGTTCCCACCCCTGCCCACAGATGTATTCAGGCTGCTGTGTTTGCCCTTTGCTTTGCTTTCTATGGGAATCCACTGTTGCCTTTGCAGCTTTAGCTCCACTGATGTAGATCACCTGCCTGTGCCAGGGCAGTGTGCAGTGCCAGGGATGTGCTGTCCAGCCTTGGGTGGTGCTGGGGATGTGCAGTCCCCAGGGGATGTGTAGTTCCAGCCTCAGGCAGTGCTGTGGGATGTGCAGTTCCAACCTCGGGCGGTATAGGGATGTGCAGTCCCAGCCTTGGGTGATGCAGTCCCAGGGCTGTGTGGATCCCTGTTATGGAGAGCGGGGGCTGATCCTCCTCCCAGCTGGGTCAGCTCAGAGGCTGCTCCAGCCTGCAGTGCGGGGCAAGGGATGCAGGATCCCTTTGGTGCAGCTGCAGCATCAGACCTTCCTCACCCCTCTGCCTTCACAGGTTTGGGGTGCCTGATTCAGTTCCTGCAGCACCTCGGCTGCTGTACACGCAGTGCTGGATGGAAAACCTGCAAAATCTCAGTGGCCACAGCTGTAATGTTCTGTAAACATTTCCTTTGATGTGAGGAGAGGCACAAACATGTTTGAGTTTGTGAAGTTTTTTGGTTGAGTGCTCGGTTCCCGATTTTTAAATTAAAAAGAAAAACGAGGCTCCCATATGCTGCATTTTTGGCTCTTAGTAAAAGGGGTGTGGAAACATTTTAGATGCAAATCCACGTCTTGTGAGACTCGCAAACTGCCTAAGTTGCTGTTTCCCCTCCTGGTTTGTGTCCCTGTTTTGAGTCTGTGTTGTTCAGACTTGCGGTTTCACTTCATAGGGAGCAGGAAAGATGTGCTCAGTAATAATGCTGAGATTTTAATAGGTTTACAGGCACATGAGAACAATTGCATTTAACATGAAAAATTCTAGGAAAAAGAAATAGGAAGTACAGGAGAACTACAGAAATATCTTAGCTCTATGTTCATTTTTCTGTTCAGTAGCACAATAAAAATTAACATTTCTATTAATACTAATCTACAATAGCAAATCAAAACAGCACCTAGTAATATATAGATATATAAGGCTTTAAATCATATATTAAATGTGTGATGCATAGCACTTGTTTTGAAGTACCTTTTTTGAACAAGTGGAGTTAGAAATTCCTGAAAACTGTTAATAAAATGCATGTATATGTTTCTAAACAGCTGTGTGTAAGGTGATAGCATTACACCTGTTAGGTTCTTGGTCTTCTTGCCACAGTTAAAACACCAAACCCAGCTGGATGTTCTGAGCTCCTCTGTAGCCCACTGTAAGCTCAGCCCTTTCGCTCTGCCTGAAACAACACTGATGTACAGTTCATAAATGCTCACATTTAGAGACTCACCCCCTGTGGCTTGCCGTGCTCTGCCTCCTCTGCAGTGTCTCCTGAGCGGGTGTCACTTAGAGAGAGGCGTGTTTGCTGTTGTGTGTCTGGCACAGTTACTTATCTTCCCTAAACTTCCTTTTTTCAAGCATTCTTTCACTTTTAAAAAAAATCTTATCTCCTGACCACTCCCCCCAGCACTGCCTCTGGTTCAAGTGTCAGCGCAGAAGCTACTTGGCTCCTGTTCTCAGTGGGGTCTGGGTTTGAGACCTTGCTGTGGCTGTGGGGTGGCTGTAGGTAAATGTTGGGGTGTGGGGGCTGTCCCTGTGCCCAGGATGCCTGTTTAGTGCCTGGTGAGTTTGGTGAGGAGTGTTTGTGTTCCACTCGCTGGGTTTCTCTCTGTGCTGCTGCACTGGCTGTCAGAGCAGAGATCAAGCACTGCCCTTGTAATTAATTGTCCTGCTAACAGCCTCGTCCTCCTGCCCTGGATAGGGAGCAGCAGGCAAGGGCTGGCAGTGTCAGGGGGTCCCAGGGCTGCAGGAGCTGTGCACGCTCAGGGTGCTGCCCTCCAAGCCCCTGGCCAGGCACACTTGGTGCTCCTCTCTCTGGTCCCAGCTACCTTTCAGGCTGCCCAGTGCTTCCTCTGTCTTTTCATCCCTGGGACCAGTGGAGTTGTAAAAAATCCTGATGTTTACACATATTTGAAGTTAATTTAAATTAATAGATTCTTTTCAGTAATGAGGAAGTCTTCTCAGTTGGGCTAATTAGTGGTTTGTCTGTGTGGGGACAAAACACTCCTTAGAACGTTTTGGGTGTGATATTTGCATTCCTCACTAACACCTGTTTCTCCCCCTAAACTGATCCAGTTCACACATAGGTGTCCCTGGACTGGACCAGTTCTTGCCCTTTTGTCTGATTATTAATGTCAAAATGTGACCTTTAAGTATCTTTTCTCTATTTACTGATTTCCAAACATTGTTATGTTGCATTATTACCAAAGGTAGTTTTTAATTCAGATAAATGTTCTCATTTTGCCTCGATGAATTCCCCCTTCTCCACTGCAGCTCACTGGGTCATGGCACATGAAGGAGGAGCAGCACTGGGAAGTGCAGTGACTCTGGCTGTGGGGACACCTGATGCCCCGGGAGGATGGTACTGGGGAGGAGGTTGTTGGGCCTTACTCAGCTGCTCACACTTTCAGTCCTAGAAATGTCTGAGAAGTGATTTGGAAACTCAAGACTTTATTTGCAGGAAACCTAGAATGAAGTCAAGGTATCAGCACTGGTACATGGATGCTTCTTATCCAAAATGAGTTTGGAAATGTGTACAGAGTGGTAACCCAACCAGGATGTTTTCACCCCACATGGTGTGTCCAGCAGCAATCCTACAAACTGCATATGTTGTCAGCTCTCTCTGCTTTTGGTCCTCAGTAGTGCCTGTTCCAAGGTGAAGCAGACGATCTATAGCAACGTTCAGCCCTCGAACTCCAACTTACTGTGGGACCCGGAGTTCATGCTGGATTTCCTTGAGAATCCTTCTGCTCACAGCATTAACTACTCTATGCTGGGCAAGATCCTGAGTGACAATGCTGCCAACCGCTACAGCTTCGTCTGCAACGCCCTGATGAATGTGTGCATGGGGCACCAGGATGCAGGGAGGTGAGGCAGCGTGCTGGGCAGGGACCACAGGGAGTTTGTGGTGTGTGTGAGCTTTTTCCATCCACCTTTTTGGTTAATGTCTGTTTTGCAGTTGTTTTCATTCATTGCTCTTTCCTGTTGCTGAAAAGGTATTGAGTAAATTCCCCTGAGTTATTCTGTTAAATGAAGCTGCATAGTCTGGCGGGAGGGAGGAAGGAGCAGCAGACACTCACTATCAGATAGTCAGGAGAGTTTTGTAACCACAGTTTTGCTATTTTGGACTGAACAGCTCAGCACAATCTTTGCTTGTAAGAAGCCTGCAAACAGGGGAAGGTTCTGCACTAGGTCATATCCTCCTTCTGGTGCAATCAGTGTTAGATTTATTAAAGGTGTAATATGTAAATTATGGATTTTGTCTTCATAGGTAGGACATAGTTTTTTGAAAAATCTGGAGGTTTGTAAGTACTAAGAGTTTTATCTGGGCAGTATCTTCAAACTGACCAAGAGTAGGTTTACAAATATTAGGAAGGAATTCTTTCCTGTGAGGGTGCTGAGACACTGGCACAGGCTGCACAGAGAAGCTGTGGCTGCTCCATCCCTGGAAGTGTTCCAGGCCATGTTGGACAGGTCTTGGAGCAACCTGGGCTAGTGGAAGTTGTCCCTGCCCATGGCAGGGGTGAAAATAGATCCTTAAGATCCCTTCCAACCCAAACCAATCTGTGATTCTGTAGAAGCCACTCGAGTTCCAGTGGTACTTTAAGGGTCACTTGGTGCTCCTGGTGCACAGTCTGTGTGATGAGTGGTCAGGTGAGACCTGTCCATGGTGGGGGGCTGGAACTAGATGTTCTTTGAGCTCTTTCCAACCCAAATCTACCCATGAGTCTCTGAGTGTGGGGCATCCTCAGCAGGGCAGAGCAGCTGAGAGGAAACAGTTTTGTAAGAGCAGAGAAGGGAACATCTAAATGTGGCCAAACAAGTTTCACTGTGGAACAGAGAGAAAATAACTTGCACTGGGATGAGTCAACTCTGCTGTGTTTCTTAAGCTGTTACATAACCCTGAATCATGCCCCGAGTCCCACGTTAGCAGTATGGGATCTATGAAGTAAAATTCATCAGTACCAGTTGATTTTGTGCCTTGCCTCTCTCCTGATGGTGGTGCTGGCCTGGCAGCAGGAGGGCTCTTGCAGGACCTGTCACAGTGACCCTGGGCTGAGGAGAGGTGCCCCACATGCACCCTATCCCTGACACTGCTGCAGGAGAGGTTTTGTCCTGATGCTTATTGTCCACCACTGGGGACACCTGGGGTATATGTACATTGGGACATAAATCCCCACCTTAAGTAAGGAACACATATCTGCCAAGCACTGCTCTGCTTTGACCTAAATATTTGTTGTTTACAAAATACCTGAGTTCTGTGAGCGTTTGTCTTCTCCCCAGGATCAATGACATCGGGAACCTGTGTGCAGAGCTGACAGCGTGCTGCACTGTGCTCAGCTCCGAGTGGCTGGGGGTTGTGAAAGCTCTCTGCTGCTCTTCAAACCACGTCTGGGGCTTCAATGACCTGCTCTGCAGCGTGGATGTAAGTTCAGTATCTTCTCAAGTACCTGTGACACCTGTTTACCCAGGGTGTGCTTGGAGGGGTAGTAAGGCTTCCATTTGACTGTGGAGCACAAATGTAGTCCTGTATACGTTTGAGTTTTCAAGGATTTTCATGGGATTCTTGATTGGTTTCTATTCTTTGCTCCATCTTCAAGATTAAGGTAAAATTGGGGCAGTGCTTAGATATCTCTTGTAAATTTTTCCGTTGTTTATGATGGGATGAAGCAAAGCACCAGAGTCCTCTTGAACAGGAGCAGGTGTGGCCGAGTGCTTCTCCTGAGATGCTGATGGATGTGTAACTAACTGTTTTAAGGACCTTGTTTTGGTGCTGACTTCTTGATTGTAGAAGGGGCAATATACTTTGTTGTTTTTTTTATTCAGTAGTTCTCATAGCCCTGTTACAGTCAGTAGGATTGTGGTGACTGTTTGATCCAATACCTGATTCCATATATTTACCCTCAATTAGATGGCATTTTCCTTTGGGAGCAGGTTGAACCTGTGTGCGTGGGGCCATTCCTGTCCCGAAGCCAAGGAAAGGGTCTCAATGTTACCTGGTTTTATTGAATGATAAAATTTTCTCAAGCTTTCATATGACCAATGCTTTTTACTTCAAATTTTTGGGATTTGAAATTGGTGTTTGTTAAAACTGAGTTAGGAGCTGTCAGCATTTGGCATAAAACGTTTGGGAAATGCATTAAAAGGCAGGGACAAGTGCTGATGTGTGACCATTTTACTGTTTATTCCATGAATGAATTCCTCAGTCCTCGTGGCTGGGGTGAGTGCACTGCTGTGAGTCCTTGCAATGTTTTTCTGCAGGTGAGTGACCTGTCTTTCCACGACTCCCTGGCCACGTTCATCGCCATCCTGATCGCACGGCAGTGCTTCTCCCTGGAGGATGTCGTCCAGCACGTCGCGCTGCCTTCCCTGCTGGCAGCTGGTAAGAGCACAACGAGAGAAAAACTTAAAATGCCAAACTCAAGACTCCCTGAGGAGTCTCCATGGATGAGACAAGCAGCATGTTGTGCGTGGAATGCAGCTCCTGTGCCCTGCAGCACAGGTGTCCCTGCGGCTCCTGAGGAGCAGTGCCAGGTTAGGGCAGAGACTGGGCAAGTGGGATCAGAGCTGCTGGCAGTGCATTGTCCCCCCTGTCCCCTGTGTGTGCAGCCTCACCTGCTGCTCCCAGCTCCTTGCTGCTGCACGCTATGTGCCCTGGGTCCTGCCAGATCTGCTCTGGTGCTGCATTCCTCCTGGCATCACCTGCCTGGCCTGGCCTCTCCTTTCTGACCTTCCCTTGGCCTCTAGCCCAGCAGTGCTGTACGTGGGTCCTAATTGTTGGCCACTTGACACATTTCTGTTCACTTTCTTCTTGGATTTGTTTGTCTTCTTGATGCTTTGAGTGTCAAAAGTCATTTTAACCATATATTCTTATCTGCCATTAAGTAGGTCTCTTGCTTGCCAAAAATGCTGCTGTTCTTCTCTGCTTTTTAATGACTCAAGGCCATAAATGCTGATTCCTGTTGATGGAATCATTGTATCCCCATTTAAAATGAGGCTGGAGGTGGAATATTTCCAGGCCTGCCGCAGGGAGTTGTGAGGTCCTGGGCAGATGCTTATGTCCACGTCCCCTCTTCCATAGCCTGTGGAGATCCAGATGCTGAGCCTGGGGCCAGGATGACCTGCCGACTGCTCCTGCACCTCTTCAGGACTCCCCAGGTGTGCCTCCTTCCCCAGGGAACAGGTGAGTCACCTGCTGCCTGGTCCTTCCATTGCAGAAACTGAACTCAGATGGGTTTTGATGGCTGCAGATTTCATGGCTGATGATATCCATAGTGCAAGTTTAAAATTACAGATGTTTGACTAGTGAGGAGTTGATACCTACAATCCTTCCTCATTTGGGAAACATTTGGGATGCTGCTTGCTGAAACTTATTAATTCTCAACACCTAGCACTATTGAGAATGGTAGTGACAGAGACACTAACAGGGATACAGATCATGCCATGTGGGAGCCTTGCATGGAAATGGAGAGTAAATGTGATGTTAAATAGGGTATCATAAAGCATCTCATCCAACAGAAAGAACACAAAGAAATTAGTTCTCTGTATATATTAAGGTAGTTCTCTTTTCTTTTAACTGTGACTATTTTGTGGTCTGACCTGTATGTGTTTGCCACAAATCAAAAGAGGAAGGAAAAGGGTAAGGAAAAAGCACCTACCAATTAAAAGGAAATGAGCCTGAATATACATGAGAATTAATATATAATGGTAATTATTATACAATACATAACATATCCAATATATAATTATATACAGTAGCAATGAGCATTAATACTAAATAACAAATAATTATTAATAAATGAACATTATATAGGTGTAGCTTGCAAGTATTTCAGCAAATTTGATAATAAGATTTTATCCATGGGAAAAAGAAATTGAAAGGAAGAAAGAGTCAGCTCTTAAGTGGTGTCAAATTCTTCCACCTCAAAGTGATAGTAAATTCTTTTTTGACCAGAAATTAATGAGCCTTTTTTGCATATTGGGGCAAAAGAGGCAAGAGCTGTGAGGAATACTGGCTGAGAACAGACAGATCTGGCTTCCCTAGAAATACAAGTGGACTTGAATGGATAGGAATAATTGTGACTGAACTGTAGCAAGTAGCACACATCAAGCACAATGTGACCTCTCTTACACCTGGCTCAGTTAACTGCCTCAGGGAGGTGATGGATCTATCCTTCCCCTCTCCCTTCCTCCCTGCCATCCAGTCTGTTCATCTTCTCCTCAACTTAGGCAAAGCACTTTCCGGCTTCTGCAGGCTGCTGAGCTGCAGAATTGGGCTCAATTATGCAACAGCCACTTACAGCACTTAATTTTGCCTCATTTGCTGTGCAGATGAGGTGAGGGAAGTAGTTTCCTAAATCTGTGAAGTCAAAACCAAAACCAACTTCCATGTCTCACTGTGGTTACATTCACCTGGACACAGTGAACCAACAGGCTTCTTTTTCTATTTCAATGCCCACAGCTTATTTTGATATTGATCCACTCAATATTAATCCAGTGTTTGATATTAATTCATTATAACCACATGTCCTGATTGACTTAATGACTTATCTGTTGGGCTGCAGTTTCAGAAGATTCAGTTCTTCCTTCAGCTCTTGTACTTCTATAGCTGTTCCAGATGAGGAGGATTTCACACAGAGGAAATATCAGTTGGTAATTATCACCCATTTTCTACAAGATTTGCTCTTCTCTCTGTAGGGAAGGGAAATTATTGGATTCGTTCTTCTTGTGATCGTCACCTCTTGGCTGCTGCTCACAACAGCATCGAAGTGGGAGCTGTGTTTGCAGTCTTGAAAGCAATTTTGATGCTTGGTAAGGATGTGCAGAGTCCTGTGTGATGTGCTTGTGCTAGTGTTCAGGTGGAAAATGGCTCCTGTCAATTCACTTCCTTGGGAATGCTTCTGGGGAAGGACAACCCTAAGGGCAAGGTGATCGTCACCTCTTGGCTGCTGCTCACAACAGCATCGAAGTGGGAGCTGTGTTTGCAGTCTTGAAAGCAATTTTGATGCTTGGTAAGGATGTGCAGAGTCCTGTGTGATGTGCTTGTGCTAGTGTTCAGGTGGAAAATGGCTCCTGTCAATTCACTTCCTTGGGAATGCTTCTGGGGAAGGACAACCCTAAGGGCAAGGGAGGAATGTGGCTGTTGTCCCTGCTCCTGCAGCATCTGTGGAGTGCAGACTCCAGGTCAAACACAGATTTTTCCCAGGTGAGTCAGCACCAGTGGAGAGGTTTTATGCAGATGTGACTATTCCAGATGTTGACCCTGACCTCCACCACTGAGTCCCAGTACATTCACACTCAGGCAGGTCCCTCAAATATAGAGAAAATAGGGTCTCAGATCACTTTTCCTACCTTTTTCTGTGTTTTGCCACAAATTCTGTGTTTGCTACTGTGGAAGTTGTAAAAGCATCACTCTGAGCAGCTCATCGTGGACAGTGAGTGTTGAGTATCTGCCTCAGAGCTTTGATTTGGCTCAAGTTCAGTTGAAGATCTTGTGACCTCTGGAGAGGTGTATTTTTGGAGCTAAACAAGATGTTCCAGACGTGGCCATACCCACAGGTTGTACCTCCAGCCAGCGTGACAGCACGACAGTCTGTTGGTCAGTGTCAGAACTGCTCCAAACCCCTGTGACCCATGATGTTTTGGGGAAGGATGTTACAGGCAGAGATAGCTGGGATGAACTGATGGATTCGGGAGTGAGTTTGAAATACATTTATGGCCATTATTTATGTTGCTAATTCAGAGTGTGAGGTCTGGGAGTTTTCTTCGTTAACTGCGTGTGGTGTGAGCACCTGTGGTTTCATCTCTGCAGGGATGTGGTTTGGACATGATCTGGTGCAGGGGCGTATGAAGGAAGGTTTGGGCACACAGTTGGTGTCTTTACTGCAGCACATCTCCTATATACCAAATTATTCTATTTTGGGAGGTCTCTTGATGGCACCCTGCATTAGTTATTTAAAAATTGTACTTGCTTTGCTGAGGAAAAGCATCAGATAAATGGTAGCTGTTGGAGTTCTGTGCTGAGGAAGCTGCTTCAGTTTTATCAGAGCATTCTGGGATGGCTTTAGCTTCATGTGGCCTTGGTGCCACTCTTCATTGCATTATTTGTCTGCTAGGTTCTTCCCTCTTATTCTTCCCGGGATCAAATGTGGACTTATAGTAAGGTGGACTGGGGGACCACTGGTCAAAATTGTCTCTTGATCTATGGAGTGTTAATAAATCAAAGTAAGAGACAGCTCTTCTTTATTTGTCATATCTACCAAAGCAATTCCTTTCACTCACTCCCTCCTGTTAAGCATGTGCTGGCTTAATTGTGTTTGAGTTGTGTTTGAAAGGGTAAAAACCTTTTCCTACTTCTGAAATACCCATTAAAAACATGCTTTGCAACATGAAGCAAGAGGACAGTACCTTGGTGATGTTCAGAGTCAGTCAGTGCTGCCTTTTGGATGCAATGGTGTCGCCACTGCTCAACTCACCATCAGCCTGGTGCCCCGAAGGTGTCTGTCCCTCGTTGTGTCAGGATGTTGGGGCTGGGGTGGGAGTTCACCCTGTGCTTCTGCCATACAGGTGATGCTGAAATTGGCAGCAACAATGTCAACTCCTTGAAGAGTGAAGAGTTCCATATGAGAGGCTTCTTAGATGAGCTCAGTGAGGAGGAAATCTGGAGTTCCTCTCACACTTTGAAATCCTGTGGAAAAGCTGTTTCCATCGAAACCGCCAGTCTGAGCGAGTACGCGAGATATGTGCTCAGAACCATCTGCCAGCAGGTGAATCCCTGAAACTGCTCCTCTGTCCTCACTTGGAGAAAGAGGGTTGTTTTATTTGAAAAGTGTAATGTATATTTTGGTGCAAAATAAGTATGTCAGTATTTGTGTTGCTTGCGTTTCCTGATCTGGACAATTTATACATGGAGTAGTTAGTTATTTGGGTTAAAACCTGCTTTAATTAGTTATTAGCATCCCCCAGCACTCTCTCAGAACTGAGGAGTTTTTCCTACCTGAATCTCAAGCACTTTGGGAAGACAGTAGGACCACACCATCAGCTCTGCTCAAAGGGCTTTTGCAGTAGCATTTGGTTTATTGCAAAGTGCAAAAGAAATTAATTTTGCAAAACCTGTTGCGTCTTACACGTTCAGGTAGTTCTGAATGACAGAAGACATTGCTATCTCACACACTGCATGAGCTGTAGCTCACTGCAAGTTTTGCATATGAAACAATCACTTTTCTGTTCAGCTTACCAAAAGTTAGTATCGCCTTGAAACTCTGGTGAATCTGTCATCTAACTCCTTACAGGACTGGGTAGGAGAGCACTGCTTGAAAGAACCTGAGAGGCTATGCGCAGACAAAGATCTTATTTTGGATCCTGTTCTCTCAAACAAACAAGCACAGAAACTCCTTCAGCTTATCTGTTACCCTCATGGTGTTAAAGAGTGCACCGAGGGTGATAACCCTCAGCGGCAGCACATCAAGCGCATCCTGCAGGTAAGGCCTTGGAAAGGGTGGAAGGCACTTGTCACTGCTGCTCCTCATCATCAGGCATTGGGGAGCTGCTCTCAGGGCTGCTCAGGTGGAGGTGCCAGCTGTTCCAGCAGGGTCAGAACTGTGGTGATGTATGTTCTTTAATGGTCTGATGTTTTGGCATGCCATTAACAGTTACAAAGAGCAGTGATTTTGGTTATCTGCTTAGAACATGAGGCTTCTGCATGTGGTGTGTTCAAGCATGAGATTCATTTCTTTGCTCCATACCTGTAAAGCATTGACACTTATCATGTTAACTCTTCCCTAGAACTTAGACCAGTGGACTCTGCGGCAGTCGTGGCTGGAGCTGCAGCTGATGATCAAACAGTGCATGAAGGAGCCTGTGAGTATTAGTTTTCAGACTTTCTTATCTAAACATTTAATGCAAAAAAAAGCATGTTAAATTTTAACATAGTCCATGAGCAAACATGCCATGAATGTGCTAGTGTACTTGTGTTTCACTGTAGGGTTCTGGGTCTGTGGCTGAAATGAACAGCTTGTTGGATAATATCGCAAAGGCGACAATAGAGGTGTTTCAGCAATCCGCTGAGCTAAACAATAACTCTTCTAACTCTGGTATAGGCCTCTTCAGTCCAAACTCTGTTGGAAATGCTGACACAAGTAATACAAGACAGAATGGTAAAAAGACATTCCTAAGGTATTTTTGTAGCACCTTTTTAATTCTTTTAGCCAACGTGATGCTTAATTGTGTGTAGATTGCCTAGACTGTTTTGCACTTGAATTAGGAATAGACAGAAAGAGTTACCTGAAGGTTCCTTCTGTTTACTTTTGTTTAACAATAAATGTAGTTCCTATTCTTAAAATTTCTGGACACCAGAAACTGTGATTTCTCAGTACTCACTAGTTACTCCAGATGCATTGTGCCACCGCTTTATCGAAGCAGTTCAGCCTTGTAACAACTAATACTGGCTGCAAAACTGCATGGAGACTTTGGCTGAAGTAGGTTTGTTCTCCTCCTAGTTCCTCTGAGCGGCGAGGAGTGTGGCTGGTGGCCCCCCTGATTGCAAAACTGCCTACCTCGGTTCAAGGTAGGGTCTTGAAAGCTGCGGGAGAGGAGCTGGAGAAAGGGCAGCATTTGGGGTCATCTTCTAAGAAGGAAAGAGATAGACAGAAACAAAAAAGGTACGACCTTGGGGGACCCATGCATGCAGAGCTGAACAGTGTTTGTCAAGGAGGAGTTTACTGAGGACTTCACAAAACCTCGTCAACCCCAAACAGGGTTCAGGGTTCATTTAATCTGAAGAAATACCATTGGTTTCAGAGGGAGAAATGTGGGAGTTTTGTAACCATCTACCAAGGGCTGTTCTGCAGCTCAGTGATAAGAAATGTTAGGGATTGAAAGCAACACTTAGAGCACTTGTTGCCTCTTCCCTTCCATGGCAGGAGGCCACTTTGCCCGCCATTAAGATCCCACCATTGTCATGTCGCTTGCTTCCTGTTGGGAATTAAGGTTAAGCTCATCTCTTAACTTTCCAAACGTGGGAATTTTAATGACTTGATGGTTAGTGATTTTCCTATAGTAAAATATTCTTCCATTATGCCTGTAATGGTTTTGTACTTTCTTGGGGGTTATGCTAGAAGTTCCATTGAATTAAGCCCACGTTGGAATCTTAGAGCCGTTCAGACAGCTCTTGTTCTAATCAGAGCTTTGAGTGGAAACTCTGGGTTCGCTTCAGACCACTGGCATGGATTAGAAACTTTAGCTGCCTTATCTCCACTAAAAAGATATCTCTAGTTCATCAAAGTAGTATTCAAATAACCTGCTCTGTTCCTGAGTCAGTCCTTCAGGTGTGTGGGCAGTTCTTGGTCACTCAGGGCCCCTCTAAGCCAAGGGATCTCAGTAACCACCTGTGCATCTGGACTGGCTGGAGCTCTGCCTTCCTGGGAGCATGGTCTAATTCCTCTGGCAGGACTTTAATTGACTAAAACAGAAACAGACACAGATACAGCAGTGCCACTTCAGGGGAAAAAGTATAGACAAAACAAGGAAGGGACTGAGGAAGGGAAGTATCAAAATAGCTTGACTAATGGAGTGCTGTGTTTGCTTCTCTTAAAGCATGTCCTTGCTGAGCCAGCAGCCTTTCCTGTCACTGGTCCTCACTTGCCTTAAGGGACAGGATGAACAACGGGAAGGGCTTCTCACATCCCTGCAGAATCAAGTTACTCAGGTAAAACAAGCATAGAGCCGTGAGCACCTTTGTTAGGGGTGTGTGTGTCAGCAGTTTTATGAGTATTTGGTGGTGTAAAACCAGGAAAATTACAGTGCAGTGATGTGTCAAAAGGAGCAGTCCAGGGAGGGGTGAAGGGGGAAGTGTTTGTTCCTTTTTTGGGTGTGAATGCATCGTCTTTTTCTAAATTTGTTACAGAGAAGTATAATGAACTGGAGTCTGATTTCAGTTCTTTCCAGGAAAAACAATGAAGGTGTTAGTCCTGAGAGGAACAATCTTCCAGTCCCTAGCTTGATCCTAAAAAGTTTCTATAAGTTTGAAAGTGTCTTCCCTTAGGAAAACCTGTCACCTTCTCCAGCTGTTTAAAATTCAAGTTTTTCATATTTTAAAAAGCAGCATTCCTGGTCCCAGCCTGGCCATTGCCTGCAGCCTCCCCTTTGCATCACTTGTGCTTACTCACAGCCTCTGCTCATCCTGCTCCAGACTTCCTGCTCCCACCCAGCTCGTGCTCCAGCCTACAGCAGCTCCTTCACACTGCCTCTAAACTGAACATAGCCAGTGCCCAGAGCAGTGGGTCATGTCTCCTTTCCCTGACTTTAGTTTCTATGAACTGCTGTGACAGTGAGGATCAGCCATTATTTCCCATATTGTCCTTCAGCTCGTCAGGATGTGACACATGTCCACATCCCAGGGAAATTCATTCCTCTGACGTTTTTCTCCCTGGTTCCTGCCACTTGGGCTTTCCTTTCACTGTGTGTGTTCTCCCCTGACATGCAGCTGGTCTAGGTTCCCTGAGTTTCTGGTCATTTCTCATCCAGAGATTGCACCAAGAAGCTGCATCCAGTGTGAGAGATCAATTGACTTACCATAGTGAAATAGGGTGTTTCAAACAGTATTGTTAAGAAATGCATAACAAAGCTGACTTTTTTGTTGCTGCAATGGGAAGATGCAGTCACACCTTTGGCAGCAGATCATCAGCTCTTTACAAATTACCTTTGTCCTCCCACCAGTTTGCTTAATCTCTAAGCCTTAAACAGACAGGAGGATCTAAAGGATCAAATCTTTTGTGATTCCTTATAGATAATGGTCACAGATGCCTAAAGGGTGAACATTACAGCAAGAAAACAACCTTAATCTAATGCTTTGTCTTAGATCCTCAGTAACTGGAGGGAAGAACGGTACCAGGATGATGTCAAAGCCAGGCAGATGATGCATGAAGCCCTGCAACTGCGTCTCAACTTGGTAACAAAAACTTGTGGTTATCCTGATGTTATGAAAAGCTGCATCAGCTACTCTGGAGGAGGTGGTAAGGAGCAAGGAGCTCCAGAGTATCCAGCTCTTTAGGGGGCTGGATAGCTGTTTTTCCTAGGTGATCCCTATGCAAGAGGATGCCAAGGGAGCTGAGGAAAGTGTGCTGCTGTGAGGCATGCAGAGCCCTGCTACCTGCTGTGTTGTTTTGCAGGTGGGTGGCATGTTTGACACGGTACAGAGGAGCACCCAGTGGACCACAGACTGGGCCCTTCTGCTCCTCCAGATCATCACCTCAGGAACTGTGGATCTGCAGACCAACAAGTATGTCTGCGCTGTTCAGACAGCTAATTTGTGTCCTTGGAGCTTTGAGTTTAGATTGCATGTATGCTCTTGTTACAGTTTTTTATCCTGTTACTGTTTGAGTGGGATTTAGGGGCTCCTTGCTGGCCTGGGGTGGGAGCACTTTTGTTTGGGATAGCATTGGAGCCACTATTCACACCCTTCCTTACCTGTCCTGTGCCCAAGTGCTTTCCCAAGTCAGAGCCTGCAATTCCTACTGACTGTTGGCAGTTTGTGCTGTCTATAGCTCTGAGCTGGAGTTTAGGATAAGATTTGTGTGTACACATCTGTGTACAGTGGGGCTCAGGTATGCGAGCTGAGGTTTGTGTGTGTGTGTTTGTGCAGAAAGCCCTGAGAAATTCACCCTGGCTGAAGAGCTGCCCTTGTGGCTTCTGCTAGGCCCCTGGATTTCCTCGTAGCTCCTCAGGGTGATGCTTGTCTTTACTCCCAGTGAATTATTCACAACTGTGCTGGATATGCTGGGGGTCCTCATCAACGGGACACTCGCCTCGGACCTGTCAAATGCCTCCCAGGGAGGGCCTGAGGAAAACAAAAGGGCTTACATGAATTTGGTGAAGAAATTAAAAGTAAGTGTCATGTCTAGTAATTTTCAGCATTTCCTTTGAATTGCTTGCTGTGCTTATCTTTTAATCCTGTCATTCCTAGTGTCTGGGAAGGCCTCTTGGAAAGAAAAGAAGAGTAAAATATTCCTAGTGATAACAAGGAGAAAAAGAAGAAAATAAAATTATAGGAATGCGGGGGTGGGAAGATACTTCTAGAATATTCTTCATATTCAGTTAACATTGTGGACCCTGCAAGGCAGTTATGTATTTTGTTTTGTATTTTGAGACACTACATTTGCGTCACTTATTAGCTACATTGTGTTTAAACAAGAGATGCAAAGTAAACTTCCATTCTTTAAACAAAGAGGAAAACCCCATAAACCTTGTAAAGCGACTTGCTCAAATTTAGTAAGAGTACAAGGAAATGATTCATCCAGAAACTGGACATTTTCTAACAGTGAAAGCAGTGTCCTGTTCTCTCCTTTCCCTGCTTTGTCTGGCTGATGATGTGTTTGCTCCCCAGAAGGAGCTGGGGGACAAGCGATCCGAGAGCATCGACAAGGTTCGTCAGCTGCTGCCGCTGCCCAAGCTGACATGTGACATCGTGGCCTGTGAGCCCATGGGGTCCCTGATCGACACCAAGGGCAACAAAATTGCAGGGTTTGACTCCATTGATAAGAAACAGGCAAGAGAAAATGTTTGCTTTTGTCTTTTTCCATGAGTTTTGGAGCATAGGAACTTCAAGCAAGCAGGTACAGCTTGTGCAGTGCAGGTGTTTGTGGGTAGGATGGTAAAAGCATTGTACTGCTGTGGCAGAGCTGCTAATCCCCTCTCAGACACCACTAAAGCTGCAGCCCCAGCAGTGTGGTCCCTGTCACACAGGTGGGCTCTCTGTGGGCAGTGCTGCCAGCACTGAGGAACTCTGGGCTTGTCAAACAGCACCTTTAAAAACAGCTGTGAATGACAGAGTGTTTGGTATCAACTGCAGTTCTGTTCCAAGTGTTTCCACCTGGAGAAGAGAAGGTTCTAGGGAAATCTTAGAACCCCTTCCAGTGTCTAAAGGTCCTCCAAGAGAGTTGGAGATGCACTTTGGACAAAGCTCTGGAGGGACAGGACAAGGGGAAATGGCTTCCCACTGCCACAGAGCATGTTTAGATGGGATATTGGGAAGAAATTCTTTCTTGTGAGGGTGGTGAGGCACTGGCACAGGTTGCCAGAGAAGTTGTGGCTGCTCCATCCCTGGATAATTTTTTTTAAAACAAATTTATTTAAAGGAGAAGGATAGAACTTTGAATAGAGCTTTTCATTCTGCAGACTGGGCAGGCATGTTTTGGTGATAGAGTGCTTAGGCTTCCTCCCCTTATTTGAGTGCATAAGCTTTAGCAAGAGTATTCTCAGATCAACAGTTCAATTACAATTGCTTTTCTCTAGTGGCAGCCTTGGACAGAAGTTAAAATCCCAGCAGCATGAGTTTGGTGTGTTTTATGGAGGGGAAGAGCTCCTTACTGGGATTTTCTGACTCAATGGTGTACAAGTCTACTGTTCAGCTTTCTCAAATCCTGACTTCCCTTTGATTCTGAAACAGGGTCTCCAGGTGTCAACCAAACAAAAGGTGTCCCCTTGGGATTTATTCGAAGGCCACAAGAATCCTGCCCCTCTCTCCTGGGCATGGTTTGGAACTGTTCGTGTAGACAGGAAAGTGATCAAATATGAGGAGCAGCAGCAGCTGCTGCTCTACCACACACACACCAAACCCAAACCACGGAGCTACTACCTCGAGCCCTTGCCCCTTCCTCCTGAGGAGGAGGAGGAGGAAGAGCCCACTACACCTGTGTCTCAGGAACCAGAACGAAAGCTGGGAGAGCTCTTGGATCAGGGAAAACATGCCATGGATGATGAGAAGAAGGCAAAGGGCAGGAAGAGGAAGTCGAAGTCAAGCTTTAGGACTGAGGTAAGTGTTTGGTGCCCACACAGAACCTGAAATATATCCCTGAAGCACCTGGTGGTGTGTGGTGCTGCCTTTGGAAATGGTTCTGCACCTGGAGGAGTCCCAGTGAAGGGAGGGAATGGAGATAGCCAGGAGGAGGGTGGATTTGCCAAACAGTGCTCAGTGTGGAGGAATGTGCTGAGCTCAGGACCTTACACACTGGGTAAAATACACCGGAGTGGATCTTACTAACCATTACTCAGGTCCTGTGTGTGGTGTAAAGTGCAGCTGTTACTGCTCGTACCAATTTCTGAAATGCCTTCTGTTCACGTTACGTTGAGACCAAACATGTTGGCTTAAACCCAGGTCCCATTCAAATGAAACTGGCTTGGAAAAGGCTCTTTCACACAGATGAACTGTTCTACTGTCAGTTTGTTGTGGTTTCTGAGACACTTTCTCTCTTACTGGGATTTGAGCTGTGGGTTCCTAAGCTGAAAAATCACATAGAGCAAGGGTTTGAAAACATGCCTGGCACCACCTGAAAAATAATAATTAATAAATAATAACAATAATAATTATAATAATGATGATGATGATGTACATTTCTAGCAGCAACATTCTGTGTGCTTGCATCCTCTCCACACTGCTGACAGTGTGGTCAGCCCTGGTGTGGATGTGCTGGTCTGGTTTGTCCATGGATGTGCTGGTATTGCCTCAGCATCCAGCTGGTTTGTACAAACTTTGGTTTTACTAAACTT